GGACCCAGAGGTCAGAAACAGTCCACTGGGACACCCTGACCCCTGAACTCTATTCCATAACTCTTTGCTGGTTTGGATGACATAAAAAGGAAAACACAGTCAGAGTGTAAAGGATGTGAACCCTCTGAATCCAAGATATATGTTGTAGGGGAAGAGCACAGGAAACGCACAGGGCAAGGTTGGGGGCCACGATTTCACTGGCTGAAAATGGAGAACATCCCTAGGATCCCTGCTACTGGTGTTGACATATATGTAGCAGAACTTATTATTTTCCTCCTCCGAGAGAGTTCTCATTTTCTCCATTTCTCTGTTGCTCTGCCTCTCCCCTTCAATCCATCCAGTATATGTGAACGAGGGATAAAGGTCGTTCTTTTGTCATCAAAAGTCCAGATTAGTTTTGCCTCGGTGCATCTGACTCTGCTCTATCACTGTGGCCAGAGGAGCCTCAAGGTTCATCTCACCCCTCTGCAATGTAATAACCCCTACCAGCTACTGTTCCATTTTTTTTTTTTTTTTTTGTCGCTATCTTCTATACTACTATTACTACTCCATTCTGAGGTACGGGGATTATTTTCATGGCTCTGGCTTTATTGGGCTATATAGCAAAGACTGGCAGAATAGCAGGGATCAGGAGAATGTGACATGCAACACACCATGAATGACTGACAAAGTTGTAATTGTTGCTGCAGTCAGCCGAGGCCCAGAGCAGAACATGCACCGCTGACAGCATATCATGGGGCTACCAAGGTTTTATTTGAATATTCCTGCAGTCGTCTAGTTCCAGGGAGTGAGGGAAGGGGGGGTGTTGTAGGTTCTGTAACTTGAAGACCCGCAAGAATCACTGAAAGTCACTTTGGCTGGTGAGGGAGGGGGGTAGGTTCTGTTACTTGAAGACCTGCAAGAATCACTGAAAGTCACTTTGGCTGATATCCTGGGATGAGTAAAAGACAATAAATTGAAGTAGATTATCAAAATGGTGCTTCTGGCATCTGCATCTGAAACGTGCCACGTCAGACCGAAAAACTTGCCAGTGGGGATCGAGATCTCCTGAGGGTTAAAAAAGGATCTGCAGTGTAAGATGAAAACACTATAATGAATGGAAACAGGATCCTTTTCCAGTCGTAGAAGGCTTTGTCTTCCTTGTCAATCATTGGGATAAATGTGGCTTTATATTAGATAATAATAATAATAATAATAATAATAATAATAATAATAATAATAATAGTTTTTAATAAATAATGACAACATTTTAATATCTAGTTGGCAGTATTCTGTATTTATTTTATTTATTAATGCCGACAGCGTGTAGCTCTCTGTCGTTCCCTGCTGTATAGACAACCATAAAGCCATTCTACCTGGGGTGTTTGGACTGGTGTGACACCGTAAGATAAGCTAAGCTAAGCTAAGCTTCCAGTATTTGAAAAACCCTCACCCTGCTGTTTTCCTCTAGGTCACTCAAGTCAAAGAGGTCATTGGATGTACAGTATTTGGGTTGTTCTCATACTAAAATATACAGTAGGCAAGGTTCAAAATAATGAATATTTAATTTCAAGTGTTGCATATTTTCCAATCATCTCGGTGGACTATAAATATCAACGTGTCCTACCTATAAATCTATGGCAGACATGACAACGGCAGAGGCCATTGATTTGAAATACGTTTTTTTTTTTTTTTGCCTTTAATGGTACATTGTTAGCTGCTGCTCAGTACGACTGGAATCTACGTAACGCAGCGCCGGGGACATTTGTCTGTGTCCCGTTAAAGAACCATGGCGACGACATACTGGGAAACGTACCTCTGATTTATCTGTTAGGCATATTTTCCTCAGACTGAGGTAAAAGAAACAGATTCTGCATTTTAAGTGGCTCTGCCTTACCTTAGAATAATAATAAAAAAACAAACCCAGAGACATGATGTTATGGGTGAATGGTATGTCCAGATATAGAAAACTGGCGTTTTTAAAAACCTCAAACTATGTTAAAAACTTGGCTGGTGTTTCTATATTCAAAGTTAAGAAAACATTCTGTTTGTCTGTTTGTTTGTGGGATGAATGAAATCATAACGACAGCAGCTGTATTTCAATGAAAAACAGATGTTCACTGTGATTGACTGGCTCAGTGATATGCAGTTAGATCATCCTTGATTTCTCATTGCTCAGTTGACTGTTCAAATTACTAAAAAGCCCGTGTTTAGGGAACATGATAATAGATTTTAAGTCGACCAACACGCTGATATTTTAGAATTTGCTGCCATGGATAATTATATCACTGACCGGACATTTGTTTAACTTCTGAAGACGTTTGAATGTCGGCCACAGTTGCCACAGTCATTTTCAGGGTTTTTTTTTTCCTGTCAAGAGTCCACCGAAGGCTGTATTTATGGCAGCGTAATAATAGGAGTCATATGACTTAAGTGGACCAATCAACCGCCGAAGGAGGAACAGTGCTGCAAATGTAAATGATCATTTACTTTAATTGACTGATGTTGATTAAAAACCTCCGTTATCAGGGTGCAGATTGCAAACAGAACCAGTGTGGTGCTGAGGTTAAAGGGGGGGCAAACGTAGAGTGAAATCCAGAGTGGGAAAAGTCAGGGCTTTGATTTTACCACACATAATAAAACAGTGTTTCTCACCTGAAATGTCTAGTAATTAATAAAAAATAATGACTGTATTTTTCAAAATTAACTCAACACAGTAAAACAAACATGATCCGAACACTAATTCGAGAACAAAAACAAAAGCTGCGGGGTGGCCAGAATTTATTTATTTATTTATTTTTTTTATTTGTGACAAAAATGGGGTCACGAGCCAATAATAAGCTAAGGAACCACTGTGTTAGAGAAACACTGTGCCAGACGTGGCCGTGCAAAACAATGACGAACGCAATAAAAACAAAGAGATCCAAACTCATGTAAGGATATGTAGAGAGTGATGACGACGGGGACGATAACGCAGTCCCATCTGTCAAGAAAATGTAAGAACATTCCCTTGATTGGGTCTGAAAATGATGAGCCATATCTGCATTTGTCTTTTAGCAGTTGCCCCCCCCCCGGTGGAGGGAGGGTGGCACTGAAGGAGTTGCATAAAAGTTTGTTTAAAGCTAAGCCGGCGTGTTAAGCTTTAAGAGAGCCCACGAGAGACTAACACACACACACACACTCACACACTGAAACGTAGACAAATGCACACACACACAAACATCCAACCCTTTGCACACACACACACACACACACACAGGCACGAGGCTTGAGCGGCAGCTCGTGCTGGCCCCGACCAACAGTGAGGAGTTTGTTGTCATAGCAACAGTAAAATGAGATGACTTTACTGTCAGCCATAATGTTTCATGGCCCCCTTGGTGCTATGGCAACATAACAAGGAGGAGGCAGAGGAGATTGAGGAGGAAAAAAAAGAAAAAAAAAAGAGCATCAGAGACATCTCTGCATTCCACAGGACTGGCACTGGGGACAGCGACGTAGTGATGCTCTCACTGTCCTCTGAGGCAATTGGACACACAGTGGGCATTATAGGGACCAGGGAACAGGGAAACTCCTATCAAACACCTTCACCTCCCTTTGATTGAGCCTTCAGTATGGCCAGCAGCATGAGCTTATCCCCACCGGTGCTTTTTGAGTTCGCTACGCTCACGGTCAACGGTGCTGTTCCTCAGACAGGCACGGCGTGTCAAAAGGTGTCAGTGTCATAAAGAGGAGGGGCGTTTCCCATGCCCCGTGCATAAAGTCAGATGGAGCGGTCCGGGTGACTGCGCCGCTGACCAACTGTACGCTGGAGCAACGGTGCGGCAGCTATACATCACAATTCTATATTTAGCTCAGTTCTTCCACTACAGCCTATCAACACTGTTGAACGGAGTTATCTGTGTTGGTTGAACAGAGAAGGGGGAGCGTAGAGATAGGTGGAAGAGCGACAGACTCAGACGAGAAGACGGAGAGAGAGGAAAGGAAAAAAAAAAAAAAAAGAACACATCGACTGCTCCGGAGAGGAGCAGAGTTGTTATGCTCTGTTGCCATGGTGACACAGGGGCCTGAGCCGTAGCAGGCTGACAGTTGTGACAGCTGTCAATCCGTCACGCAGGGACAGAGGAGACAGAACGGCTGATGATCACCTTGGATTAGAGCAAGACCACAGCGCGCAGAGGAACACAGGGACTATATCTGGACATAATTCATGCCCCCGCCCCGGCATTTGCATGCACGCCATTTCTCATACACATGTTCATACATCTTTATACCTGCAGAGTTTTTTTTTTCCCAAACATTTGTGGTGTGCACGAAATTTTAGCTCTAAATCAGTGCGAGGAGAGAGGGAGGGAACAAGTGTGCATCTGAGGTTGTCCACACTCTGAAGCATGTTCACAGGGTGAGTGAAACAGATTACATTTTGCTGTGGGGGTTGCCCGAGTCTTTCCCATGGCTCTCCGCGCTACAGGACAATCAAAGACATGGCAGCGAAGCTTCTGATTATGGTGTGACGCTCGGGACAATTTCCACACTCTCTTTCTGCATCTAACTAGTGCAACATTGCTCCTATGTGGCAAGAATAATGGTCTAATTAGTCATGGGATGGACTCATTTGCTTCTTTCTTTTCTTGGCTTATCTCCCGGTCACGGTCATCTCTGGGCACACAGAGTCCCACAGTTCAAGTTTATTTTTGCGATCACTCGTTGCTCCGACCTCGGCTATTAGTATTGTTTTGGCTATTAGTCACTAGCTTTAACCCTGTGATTGTTTGGCCTTTAATAAGATATTCCAGAAACCTCATATTATTTCGCTGGTACTCCAGTAATTAGCTGTACAAGGGAAATTCCCTGATCCGTTGAAGCACTAAATCTGTAGTTTAACGCAGAACTGGACAAGAAACCCCCAGAGAAATGTTCCAGAAGAGCATTATCCCCAATGTGGTCAACAGGCTTCTTTTTTGTTTGTGTAAAGAAACTCATTCTTTTACCTGCTCTAACTTGATTTTCTCCTCCCTCTCCAGGAGTGAGCCTTGGGCTGGATGGGACCCACCATGCCCCCAAGCAAGAAGGCCCAGAGCCCCAGTAGTGGAGCCAGTGCCTCCCAGGGCATGAGCCCACCGTATCGGCAGGGGGGGGGAG